CCTGCTCTGCGAATTTCGGAGAGGTTGCACTGCCTTTTTCGTGAACAGGTAGATGACCCCAAGGACCACCATGGCGTTTTATCAACCCTGCCTTACGGGTTTATGTAACGCTGGTTTTAAAGAAAACTTTCTAATTGCCTCTACGTTCGCCACTGAAAGCGGAATCCGTCGCGCAGTATTCGCTAGTTGACCTAAGCCTCTTCTTGAAAGTTTTATTTGCTTGCTGTTCAAACAAGCACGTAAGGCAGGGTTGATAAAACGCCATGGTGGTCGTTGGGGTCATCTACCTGTTCACGAAAAAGGCAGTGCAACCTCTCCGAAATTCGCAGAGCAGGATCCATTTCTTTATAGGGTCCTTGATGTCAGCCTTAGTTCAAAATCGGTTCTTTACAGCGATCCCCTGTGTTGATAAATTCCACAGATACGGGAGAGCTTACGTAAGCAGAGTACGCTGGGTGATAAAGAGCTTCAGTTGCCAAGCGTTGTGAAGTCAGCACTTCGTTTCTTCGATTTGTTGGGTCCTACTCGAAAAGAAAATGAAAATCATTTTCTCCCTCGAGCAGGACACAGCGATATATGGGCGCTCACTATCTTGTCCAGAAATGCTAGGTGATTCGTGGCAGTATTTCCCCAGTATCGTTTTTAGATCGGTACGAAGAGGCAGAAAAAGAAAGTCAGCGCTTCCACTGAATCTCGTAGAACTTTGTAGCACTCCTGTCTTACGTCCAGTGCAGAAAAAAAATCGTTCTAAGCCAAGATTTGACGAGGCTCGAATACTTTCTCAACTATTATGATGGCTTGCACTCTGCGGCTTGGTAACTATACTGCATTCAGCCAATGAGTCCTGGTTGTTATTCAATAGTCTAATGACCCTTTCCATCATATGCAGAAAATCGCAATATTGAAAAGAAATGTCAACCTACTCAAAGAGCACCCTAATAATACTGGCTTGAATCAACAACTATAGGAAGATCGCTCTATTTCAGTCGTTGACCGGAGCACGTTCGGTGCCTCGAGTGTTCATCAACCAGAAATTCTTCGGTGGAGGCGATGAGACGGCAGCTGCCGCAAAAACGGAAAGCTTGCAGCACTTCTCAAGGAAGCCCAAGCCATCTAACTCATGAAAGATCTCACTGAAGTCGCAATCGTGAAGCTTTCATTGTTTCTGTGATTTGCACATTATCTCGTGAGTGTTGTTATTTATCTCGTGAGTGTTGTTATTAATAACAGTATTTACAACGCTGTATATTTTAATAAAGTTAAGCGATTAGGCATTAATACGTCAGACAGAGATTTTTGTGAATGTTTAAAACGAAATAAATTTGACTGAAGTGATATAACAGCTTATGTTAGGCTCAGGACAGGTCGTATGTTGGAATTTCCCAACGCAAGAAGTGAGTGGTCGTATTTAGAACGCTCCCTCCCAGTCAGTCCCACCGCAAAGCAACTATTTTGGATGGTTAATCGGGTACGCTTTTCCGTTCGACAACAAAATGTGGGCAGTTTGGTAAGACGAGGTATGTAGGTCGTTGTAC